AAGACAGAACAATGACAGCCAAGAGAAATATGGTGTAAAACACAGTTGTGTTCTCTTTGACCATCTCTCTTATTTCCATCCTATCACAGGATTTCCACCTGACATCCTACATGACCTGTTTGAAGGTGTGGTTCCTGTGGAGTTGTGGGAATTGTTTGAAAGGTTTGATTGCAAAAAAATATTTCACTTTGGAAGAGTTGAATAGAGCAATACTGTCTTTTCCCTTCCAACATTCCGATAAGGTTGATCGCCCTCACCCAATTCCTCAAAATGTTGTCATTCGAAGAACAATTGGTGGGAATGGGCATGAGACCCACACCCTGCTTAGACTGCTACCTGTTCTCATTGGCTCCAGAGTCCCAGAAGAGGACACATTTTGGGAGGATTTAAAAGATATAGTTGAGCTAGCTATGTCTCGTGCTTTTACTGATGATACCATTCAGTACATGTCTTATAAGATTTCAGATCACAGGCCGCTACTTCAGGAAGTCCACCCCAGCTTACGATTAAGACCAAAGCATCATTACATAGAGCATTATCCTCATCTTATAAAGTGCTTTGGTCCTCTGGTGCATGAGATGAGATTTGAGGGAAAGCACCACGTTTTCAAGAAAATTATATATATGATACTCTACTAACTACAAAAATGTTTTGAAAACTTTGACACCAAAACATGATGGTATTCCATTTGTCATCTCCACGATTTTTAAAGCCACCAGTACAGACTTCAAAAGTGGAGTCAGTCTATGTTGAGTCATTGCCTACTGATACACATGCAACAACAGGTAACCATTGAAGGCACAACTTTTGTGGCTGGCATTTGCACTGGGGCACATGCTGCCTTGCCTGAGTTTAAAGAGATCTGAAACATATTACTTATCAGGAATGACATCTTCTTTCTACTGAAAGACTTCGAGACCTGGTATATTGAGCATTTGTGGTCATATGAGCTAACAGATCATAAAAGCCATACAGTGAAATCTGTGTGTCAGCTAACTGACCAAATGCCACAGTTTGCTTACAAAGTTTCAAGCAAGCTAATTATCACAACTAAACATTTCATTCCAGTGTCCGAGTAAAGGCACAGCACCAAACCAAGCAGCATTTTTCTGCCTTGTGACCTGAGGGGGGCTAAAGATCTGTGTGGACATTCCCAAGAACACTAGTGATTACCTTACTGGACACTGAACAACATATTTCAAAGGTAATGTCAGTGCTAGGTAAAGCTAGCAAACTGCTGTCCGTAGCTTTGTATTTATTGTACAGACATGAGAGTGGTATCAGTCATCTCACCTAACTCAGCAAAAGGCCTAGAGTCGACTAGATGCCACAAAATCCTTCACACTGGACCTTTCAATGCTGTGGATAATCTGTCAACTGTGTGCAGTGGTTACATGGTAACTTTGTGTGTATCTAAGAAAGTTATGAGAAAAAATATGTGCTACTGTGTGTAACTGCTGCTACACACTGCTCACATGTGCTCAGACCATGGTGTGTATGCTTTTGGTTTAATAATAAGAACAGTTGATACACTGATATCTATGAGTAGTCTAGAAACTGCTAGTGAAAAACAGACCTAGCACATTCAGTAGCTCTTTCTGTTTTATGTTACAGGTCTCCCCAACACAATGGAAACGACTGATGTCCTGAAATTAAGGGTCATCCTCGATGACGTCAATGCAGAGAGGCTTATTTTGCCCTCTCGCCCTGAGACTGTAAATGCCCTCATATTTGAGGTGAAAAATAAGTTGAATCTGACTTACGCCTTCAGTTTCAAGACCCGGAGTTTGACAATTCCCTGTGTAATTTAGTTAACATGGAGGACCTGCCATCCAAGGCAACAATTAAGATAGTTTGATCTGTCGAGTCAGCATTCTCCTACGAGGTGGAGTATGCTCTAAGAGAGGGCAACTCTGCATTTGTGAAAGAGGGAAAAAGTCAGGTTGACCAGGGATCAAAAACACAACATACTAGATGCGATGGCTGGTGAAATATATAAGCATAAAGCTTATCCTAGCACCAAACAGATTAGCAAGGCTGCTGAGGCTCTGGTGAGCAAACACCCCTGCCTGAAAGAAAACGGATCCAGAACCGGGTATGAGGGTTGAAAGAACAGCCTGCGCTTCAAGATGGGCAACTACAGGACCAAACTGAGCAGGGCTGACATAAAGGATGTAGCTGTGAATGCAGGAAAGCACAGCAAAACCAATCCAAAGGGTGCAGCAGCAAGGACCAAAATCAAAAGAAACTGCCTTCTGCGGTGTGTCTATTGTGTCAATTTTTTACTATTAGTACTACAAAGATTCAGGTATAAGATTCAGATACACATCTGTAAACTGATCTTTATCAGATATTTTGACAAAACCTTAGTAACAAGTGAAGACACAGACTCGAACTCTCTCCTCATCATATTGAAGGAGAAATTAAGGGTAATGATCTTCCCTAAATAATCTTGTATTCTCAGTTTGGTTTAAGATGTTAATACAGTGTAACACCACATTTCAGAACTAATACATGGAACATATTTACCTTTTTATTGATATTGCTTCTATTTGACTATTGCATTAAGCAGTGATGATGACATAATGTTTTCTTTTATATCATTAGTCTTTTTTAAGTCTAATGATTTGTCCAAATACACTGAAAACACTGAACATGTGTTCCCTTTTCAGGATGAGTTGGAAGAAACCCAAGAGGGGGCAGTGGCTCTGGTGGCAGCAGTGAATGAAGATAAGGTTCCTACAGGAGTTCCCTTTGAAACTGACCATGTGTCTATCGTCCTCGAGAACCAGGTTGTAATGGCTCACAGATCTTGGACAGATTCACTTGTCATTTTGTTTGGACTGATCCACGCTCTCCATTTGAGCTACCCTGAGAAGCTCAGTGGCTTCTTTGAGTTCATCCAGGTGGTCCTCCTGAATCTTGATGATGGGAGAAAGCAGCTCAAACCACCCAGTTACAGGCCTTGAGAGATGAGCTGGAGTAAATTGACAAATAGGTTTTGTTGTTACAGGTCAGCATGTTTTTGTTTTAGCTTGCAAGCCTAAAATAGTTAAACGAGTGAGAAACTTTGGGGCATTTTACTGCTGATAATAATTTGTGTACAGTGAACTAATGACCCAATTCAATTCTGATTTTGTGTTTAAACAGATACTGTGCAAATCACTGAACAAGGATACAAGACTTGTTTATTCTAGTTCTATTCTATTTAGTTTTATTGCATAGTTTTTTCTACAATATGTTTGTGTATTATGTGAGTTATTCACACTTTCCACATGTTTCATTGTACACATAAATGTGTATGATATTTATTCACCAGCTTCATTATGTAACATTATGGACACATCAAAACATAAAATTGAACAAAGTGTTCTAAATCAGGTAATTAGAGTAAATAGATGTGCCTTAACTGTTGGGTATGAATACAATAACCTGCTGCTTACAGGAGAGGGGAAAAGTTTGGGGAAGAGGCAGTGTAATAATAATAATAGAGTATAATATCAATCTTGAAGGCCACAGCAAGCTCAACTATATGCTTTATTAGTTTTGCATTGCCTCCTTCCCCAAATTGTTCCCCTCTCCTGCAAGGTGCATCTGCTCCAGGAAGGCTTTCTAGTATCGCTGGCATCATTACTATAGTTAAATCAGCAATTAAAGCAGCTATTCAAATTTACATGATAGTTTATGTAAGGTACCACACAAATTGCACATGTATATGGGAAATTTGGTAGACTTTTTTTGGACCTTGAACCAGCAGGTAACTTTACAATACAATGGACTATGCAGAATTATTTTATTATAGTGTGATGGAGCCCACAGATTATAATCCTCAGTGTCCAAAATATTTACAAAGGAAGCTGATGAGTGAAATGGATGAAAAAAGTTTGATTTGTCAATGATTTGAGTGACTTATTTAAGGTACAAAAGTAAGTATAGATTAGTACAGTTTCTTCATAGAGTTGTAAACATTGAAATGTTGTGTATTCAGTTGAGAGCATTCAACTAAATAAATTGTTTAAGTATTGTCAGATGTGTGTTTATTTGTAATGAGTTAACACAACTTAAATGGTTTAAGGCAATCAGTTTCCTCAAATGAAGTAAGTAGCCACAACAAAATTTGAAGTTGTGAGAACTAGAATATAATTATTTGATTTAGCAGAAGGAAACAGTAAATTCAACTTAAGTATTAACATTTGTATAAAGAAGATTAATTTAAGTTGTTCTTACTTTATTCAGATGAATTCTGTTAACACATTTTAAACAAGTTTAGATAAATGCTGGATATAAGTGTAACATTCTTACTAGTTTTGAGTCCTATTAACTGAATGGAATTAGTACAATGAACTTTACCCAAGTTACTTTAACAATAAATACTTGTATAATAGTTCAATAATAGTTCCTTGTACTCAAATCAAATATTTTTTTATGCTTAAATTGTTTGAGTTAATTAAAAACCATTCAAGGCAATCGGTTTCCTTAAATGGTTTAAGTTGAACTAACTCATCGGGTTTTACAGTGTACTACAGTATTTGATTTATTGATTTCTATAACAAAAAATGCTTCTGAAAAACATTACTTACCCTAGCTTTAAAGGTTATACGAAATGCACTCGCAACACTATCTATCTTAGTTCAGAGGTCCATATCAGAAGTCTCATTGTTCCTATACATTTCTTTGATGACTGCTCTCAATTTGCTCTGTTTGTAACTCCTTTCACGTATTACACTATTTTTCTTATACTCTGTGATCCCCAGCAGACCCAGTATGTATGAATGTAGTAGAAGTGATATCTTTTTTTGTCCAAAGTAAAAGGAAACAAACACATTGCATACTGTCCACGTGAGCTTATTGGTCATCCTTACCTAGTATACTGGTGTGTGTTAATCACTAGTCTGGTGATCACTATGATCAAGATGCAGTTTTCCATTTTATATTGTCAAAGTGATCAACTATAAAATGTGTCCTTGGTAGGATAATTCTGCTTTCTGTCTCGTCCCCAGCCTCTGAACTATGAGAAGAGGAAAGTTCACACACTCAACATCGAAGCCTCCAACACTCACCCAGACTCCCGCTTCTCCCACCTGGGGCCATTTAAGGATTCCACATCACTGCGAGTCATTGTGGGTGACGTGGACGAGCCTCCTGTCTTCTCCATGGACTACTACATTATGGACGTGTATGAAAACTCCCCTGCCAGCACCCAGGTTGGCACTGTAACTGCAGTCGACCCTGATAGCACCAACAGTGCCGTAAGGTAAAGGGAATAGTCAAAGATATGACGTGTGTGTATGTGTTTTTACATGTGTAATTCTGGTAGTATTTGGGGTTCAGGTAATAAACAGTATAAACAGATATCTGCATTGTATTATATAATCTGTAGGCTAGGGACAAGACATTGGCATTTGATGCATTCTGGTTTCCGTTTGTACTCTAAGTAGGATTGACTAATCAACGTTTCAGCAGGCTTTGGTTGCATGCAGTCTGTGTGGAACAATGAAATGCATTGACCGAAATGCAGTCTTGGAACCCATCTATCTGACGACAATTTTGCTTTTCAAAGCTGTATCTATATTTAGATATAGGCTTCTGGAGATTAGCCAAAATCAGACTGTAAAGAATAGGGATGGGAATCAAGCATCAGTTCCAGTTTATAACTGTATGCCTCCAAGCTTATCAGTTTATTTTATCATTGCTGGCATGCTGTTGTTGTGCACAAACTCATGCTTCTACACTGCTGGCAACAAGAAGGAGTCATGGTGGAAACAATCCAAATCATGGATTTATTTTGCCAAGGAAGAAGACATAAGTGCTAGTTGAAATGTTTGTAAAATTATAATTGGGAACACCAGCAATATGCTGAAACATTTTTTTGGAAGAGGAAATCTGTGAATTTTGCGTTAACTGGAAATCCACTGGGTACACTGGAGGCCCTTTCGCCCAGAGGCTAAATAGTCGTTAGATGATAGCTGATGATTGGGGTCCAGGTTCCCTACTAGAGAAGCAGCTTTGCCATTGGGTCAGAGCTGAGTGTGGGGCTCCAGCATGTACAGCAGGTTCACTGAAAAATTGTAGCACTTTGCAAAAGCCTCACTTCTCTAAAAATACCACATTTCGCTCTCTTATCTGCTTATGTCTCCCTTGGCACATGTACTGCAGCACGGGCACAGCTCTGCTTTTTCTCATGCCACCTATTCACAGCCTTGGTAGGAAGGAACTGGTAGAAGGAACTGGTAGAAGGAACTGTCTCACTCACTGAAAAAAAGAATACTTTGGATTTACTTGATTTTAATGTGTACATCAGTCCCACATGAAAAGAATGTGGATGACTGTCAAAATGTGCTTCTTTTTCTCAATGAATTATTACTTGTTAAACCAAAATATTTCAATCATGTTCAGGTATTTAAAATAATCAAGTTGAGTTAACTTATTTTTTTAAGCTACTGCAAAACCAATTAATTAAGTAGTATGAAAGCGATTTTATCATGTTCAGGATACCTGATTTTCAAATAAAACAAACTTGATTTGTTAATGCTATTATTATTTAAATGTATTATGTAAATTAAAAGCAATTTTATTATTTCCTTACAACCCAGGTTAGGTCTCTAAATGTAACTTGATTTGTTAAAGCCACCCAAATGCATTGTAGATTTGCATTTGCATAATTTTTTGGTGTATACAAAAATCAAAACCAATTTCATTGAAAAAAATTACTGTATTCTTCCATAAAACTTTGCAAATCACACACATACAGTAACTTTAGCGTAGAAATACAAAGATGTAGCCATTATAATACCAGTACATTCAAAATACAAACCCCAAATCACTTATTGCAGTACATTCAAAGCTGTGAACAGTTAATACTGTACAAGTGCATCCTCAACAGCAAATACAAAATAACAACAGTAATAAAAGTATTTTTTACTGTAAACCAGTAAACAAAATATGCCACAATCTGAATTGGGCAAGTACACTCTAACAAATGATGTGCTGGCTCAACGTAAAAAATTTATGTAACAATTTGCATGGTTAAGTTATTTCAACTTAGCTAGTATTGAGTACATGCCACAAAACTTCTCTAGTTAGGCCAACTCAATTACTTTATTAAAAGCAACATGATTTGCCTTGTCCTCTACAAGCTTATTTAAGTTGAACCAACTTAATTTTGATTGTGTTAAAATTACTCCTTTTAGTTATTCTAACTTATAGCTTTTCCTTTCATTCCACTCAGAAATATCCATGCAAATTGTTACCTTAATTTATTTTAGTACAAGAACTTATTTATCTGAGTCAGAATTAATCACACATTGAAATTCCAGTTTTATGATCTAACTGTTTATTCAAACACCAGTCAGCATCTCACTTACAGTTACAGGACTGAGTGTATATTGACATTTTAATAGTACACAAAAATGTAGCCTTCATAAAATAAATCAGGAAACTTACAACATAAAATAGCCCTGTAAAACTCTCAGAAAGATTGAACATTTTTACAGTCATGCTCTTGAGACTAATTTGAGTTATTTTGTATAAAAGTAGATTACTTTGAACTAGGTGTAGTTAATAAACTCAACAGTACATCTACTATACAGTGATTTCCCCATGGGGATTATTAAAGTATTTCGGATTCTGAAACAACACATTGCAAATAACAGTGCAACATTTCGTCTTTAATTTGAGGACAGCTTAAATGTCTCTTTAACTCCTCAAATTTTTTTTTTAGCACAGCAGTTTATTTTTTGGCAAGATTACTTTAGGACTTGCTTTCAGATCATCCAACTCGAGGAATGTCTTTTGAAACACTTCAGAAGTATTTTTCAGTTCTTTTGGGTAGCTGAGGTTGAGTGCGTATATCAGCCCCATTATCAAGGCACAGGCTCTGGGAATATCCACATCCGTTAGGACCTCTGTTCCCTCCAGGACGATCTTTGCACGGGCTGCAGGTATGCCACATCGTGTTGTGACAATCTTCATCAGTTTGCCCGTAATATCCCCGTCACCATCCTGGTAGGTCAGAATCAATATAAATGTTTTATGGATTTGTAGTGTGAAAATTCCACATAGACACAGTTCTTTTATGTAAACACACCCCCGCTATTTTTTGTTTAATTGTAGAACACATTACACAGCACCACAGTTATCTACTAAAAACAGTCACATTTATGTTGACGGGGTTTTTAGACTGCACTTGCTGTTCCAATGGTTGACTAATAAACTGAATGTGGGCTCAGTCACCTACAACGGCGTAGCCATGAAGCTATGACTGCTCAAACCTTCAGTGCTCCTACAAATTTTAAATAAATTTGAAAGAAACAAAGTTAAACTACTGAAAACCAGTGCCAATTAAAACCTGCCACCATAAAACAAAACTTAACAAACACTAATGTCAGACCGAATTATTACCATTACTGCTAGCTTACACATTACCACTGCTGACCGAGAAAAAGCATCTAGTGTTGTGTAAAACGATTTTGTGTACTGTGCATCCTAAACAGCAAATACAAAATAACAGTAATAAAAGTATTTTTTACTGTAAACCAGTAAACAAAATATGCCAAAATCTGAATCGGGTAGATTAGTAGATTTTCAAACAAAAAGTAATAAACCCTGCATCGACTCGTCATGGAGAAATAACACAAATTAAAAAAGGGGTGCAGTTATATCAGTGTGACCAGTTCACTGAGAGAGCATGTTTTTCAGAGCAAGTGCTTTGTTGGAAAGCTCGAAACCTCGAAAGTGTAGCGGAGGTCAGCAGGATAGCTAAGATTGAGCACATACATCAGTCCGAACAGCATAGCAACAGCTAATGCTACATTATCAAGATCTTGTAACACCTCGATGCCTTCAAGAACAATGCCAATGTCCTCTACTTCATCACTTGAGGCATGTTCTTTGACAACATAGATCCCAACAGTGGTGTCTTCAGTGGCCTCATTGATGGTGTTGTTATCCAGGCTCTGTACAAAACAGACAAAAAGTAAACCAAAGTTAGCCAAATCAAAACTATTCACCAAGCTCCATCAAGAAAATGATAAACATAAAACAGTGACACTATAGAGCTAGGTAAGGTGAAAGTTAGAATCAAGGCAAATATAAACATTTAATAAAATGGAAGCATTATCTGTTCTATGTGTAACCACTTTTGATGCAGTCTGAGCCACTTTGTTGCACATTTACAGATCCATGGCTGTGTATGAACACAGGATTCTCTTTCAGCACATACACAGATGAGACAGCTGGCAGGCCATGAGATATTTGCTGAATTTGACAAAAAGTCTTGAGTACCGTTCATTCTACCTTTAAGTTCATTTAGCATCAACCAGAAACACTGTATAGATTTTTTGTATGAAACAGTAAGCCATTGATGATGAAAATTATAATGAATATTATTTTAATTGATGAATAATTTCAGCACAAGTGATCAAGAATGAGAATAAGAGAAGAGTGGAAGAAGAGTGGAAGCACTGATTCATATACATACCACATATTCCTGTAGAAGGTTATCTGGATCTTCGCCCATGTAGACACAGACTCCTTTAATGATCCACTCTCGTCCAGCATCTACATCATCACACTGAAAGGACATTTCTAGGACCATAGGAGGCCTGCATCACTTACATTAGTGATTTGTGCAGTGACTCTTTTGAGCTTTTCCCCTAGCTGTCCTCCTCACCTTTGGAACAGCCTTGTCAGATTGTCAGATTGGAGGTCTAGCTGAGACAGGAACTTGGACTGAAGTGGAACAGTGGTGATTCTCTTGAATTCAGCATTGATCTGAAAAAGCACAGAGGACTCAGTGAGAATGTCACCATCACACATAAAAGCAGAGCAGGACAGTCAAGGAGGGAGATGAAGCACAGACACACGATGTGCTATTAGGTATGCTGGTATGTACATGGATAGCGAGAACTACGTCCAAAATGTGGATGCTTTAACTTGTAGTGATGTAAAAGTTTGGACCTACTTGATACAGTTTGTGTGCACCACTTACAGCTCCACATTCCCTGGACCTAATCCTGCAACATACATCAAGATCATCATTAGTCATATCATTCATCCCCAAAATGCAAGTCAGAACAAAAAGGCTCACTGCACTACCAAAATTCTATACAAGATGGAAATATGCTATAATTTCCAAATAAATTCATAGGACTTTAACCCTCTGAGGACTAAGCCCTTTTCAGCTCATTTTCAGCTTGTTTAGACCAGCGATATTTGGCAGAATAAAGCAAGTCAACATTTTCGATTATAATCAAATGTGAAAAAATACAATTAACATTTTATCAATGTCTCACATTCTTTTTAAAATGTATCTTGAGGTAAATGAGGATGCAAATTTAGGGCTTAAATAAATGTGAGAGTACCTTTCCATTACAGAGCCTTTTGAATGTATGATATGCAAATGGGCAGTGAACCTGTGAAAGAAAATATAAAAAAAAAACACACACACACAATCCTAAATATGTCATAACTTCATACAAGTTCTTATTTACTCTCCTCCCCCACCCGCCATAGTCACAGTCTGGTGCAGAGGCAAAGTTCGATGAAATTCACTTAACACAGCCAGCTAGCAGCTGCTCTCCAACGGCTGTAGCACTGTGGGCAGCAGCGGGCCCGGGAGCCGCGGTCTCAGCAGAGACACACACTGACGCTTACTGTCTACAGTAAATTAACTAGCGGGTGTCTCATGGAGACTTTCCCACAACGTTCCGTTCGCGGTCTTCTTCTTGGTCTATTTTTGGCATCCAACTACCGGCGCGTAAGCGCCACCTTCTGTTCCGGAGGGATAACGACACTGCCTGGCGACATTCAAACGGCAGAGACTAAACTTGATTACAGTTTTATGAGTTTGTTTTTTAAATTTGATTAATTTCAATCAACTTGCAAGAAACAAGTTAGTTCAACATTCTTTATAAACAACTTAAGTGTACTTGATTAAACCATGTTCACAAACAGAATATAAATTAATTGTGTTGCTTTTACTTACTTCACTTTTGTAAATTCAAAGACCCAATATTTCCCTTTTTTCAGTGCTAACGAATAAGGTGAAAAAGTGGTTTAATATCCTAATTTTCTGCCAAACCAATACTGGTGTGCCTAATGTTATCCAGACTTGTAGTCTAGTGTAAACAGGGGTAAACATAGTTTTATTACGTCTGTCACCTTGGAGAGCTGATCTAGATTGTTTGACTTTACTCAAAAGGTACCAGTTCATGAAGTACTTCTTTTTTACTTATATGATTAATGCTCCCCAACACACTCTTTTATCTCCCAAATAATATATCACTATCTTGTCAGTGCAGTTGGGAACACTAAGTCTAAGTTGCAAAATTGAAAGAAATTAATCCATAATGTGAGAGTAAAGATGCAGTTTGTAAGATGTGGTGGTGTCTTATGAAACCAGAGTAAGCAGAGAGAGTATGTATCCACATACATATTACATGTTGATAATTCACTGTACTGTCATTCAGAGACTTAAAAAACACAGGGAAATATGTCACACATTTGTGCGTTGAGCTGTGTTTTGTAATAACCCCCTCTTCATTATTTCAACATTTTTGGCGCAATTTGAAGTTGAGAGTCAGTAGTGTAAAGCATTAACATACCAATGGATGTAGAAGAAGAAGAAACAATGGCACTCTAAGTCTTTATAATAAAAAGTAAATGCCAAGACTGTTATTTGGTTTTCTATGATATATAGTGTGTGCATTCCACAAGATATGGCTTTATAACAGGATTAGTGTATCATGACTACTACCTGCACAAGCATTATCATGTGTAAGTGTCTCTTATTGTATTACCCTCTAAAGAGTATAATAAAAATTATGTTTCAAAGACTGCATTTCCTCTTTAAAGTTCATGTCATTCTGCATCACAGGTACTTCATAGAAAATGAAGAGGAAAGACCTTTGTATTTCACCATTGGGGTGAACAGCGGAATCATCAGAACTACTCAGGTTCTGGACCGGGAGGATACGGCGTGGCACAACATTACTGTGATGGCTGCAGAGGTTGGTAAGTTTACGGCGACAGCAGACCAGATCAACTGTCTGCTATCTGTTCTTCTGCATATCCGTGACATCCATTTATCTGTCCCTCTGGCTACCCATTCAAAAGCTTTCTGCCCATCCATCCATCTATTTATCCATCCATCCATCCAACCTCTACTGTATGTTTCCTTAAGGTAACCTCTAAGCACTTGTACTGTACCACTGAACATGCTCTTAGTTGTTTTACTTAGAGGGTTGCACTTCCAGGTTTCCCTCACATCTAGCTCTTGTTCCTATGGAGACTGAATGCACTTATTGTAAAGGAGGCCTATTATGGTCTTCCTGAGTTTCTGTCATATATATAATGTTACAATGTCAGATGTTGATATTAAACAAAGTTCAGATTCTGAGGTAAATGTATGTAAAAGTAATCCCTTCAGTCTGCTCTGAATGCAACATTTGTTCTATCTTTGGATTTTTTTATATGTTTATCTCCAGGCAGAGTTCAGCTGAGCACATCCACGCAGTACAGGGAGCCGCTCACTACGTCTAAGATACTTTGACAGCTTTGCTCAGAACTACCTTGTTTTTGTATAACTCGCAAAAAAGGGCTTTTTCGCTTGTGAAGAATAGTTACATATTTGTGAATGGCAGCTGTCATGCCATTGAGAACACACCTGTAAAAGGTGTTCACAAGCACTCGGTCCAGCCTCTAAGCAGGCTTCTGTGAAGTTAGGAGTTGGGGGACTTAAAGAGACAGCTTGTTTCAGACCACTAACAGTATATATCATGGACAGAGCTTTCGGGTCTGTGAAGTGAAGCCAATGTAGAAGTGTCTTGAACTTGCATTCTATGTAAAGGCCAGCAGGGGGAGCTCCAATGGCTGCAATAAAAAATGACACCATGCAGTCTTATAGAGAAATGACCCTACTTCTCACTTGATTAATGCGCTCAGTAAACAGTTTCCTAATGAGTTTATGGTCCCAATCTCTAGTTTCAAGTCTTCTTCCATACAGCATGTTTAGTAAATAATGGTCCCATTTAGAGTAAAATAGACCATAAAGACAGGTATGCTTTAGGGCATGGCTACCTTGTGATAACTTGTAACTACCTACTCAGATCAAACAGTCAAACTAGGCAGTGCTGATCAAATATGAATCCAGATTCTGTTACTGCGTTGACTATTTATCACCTAAAATCGTTTCAGAAACATATTTTACACAAATGTGCAGGATTTTAAACTTATTATTGATTTCTGACCCAAAGTGGAAAAATAGAGACTGCAGTTTTAATTATATACTCTGTTACTGAAGTTAAATATTTGTCTGTGATTTAAACACTGGATGCAGAATGTCTTCAAAGGATCGTCCTTGATTAATTATCACAATTTTCACAATTAAGTCTATGGAAACTGTGGGTTTATTTTGACATTTTTGTTTTAGGTTCATTGTCATTTTTTGAGTGTTGTTGCCAGTTTCTTCTTTCAGGTAATTATACACTAATGAAAACATACCTAGGAATATTATATTCCATTTTTGACAATAGATCATCCTCAATGTTACACACAGTAGGATTTACAGAAGATTTTCATAAAAGAGCTCTCTAGCTATCCAACCATCCCATCATTAATTTCACATTAGTGACTGAGTTTAACTTACACACTGGAACTTTAGAAGAAGAACCTTTTGAAGAACTTTTAGTATTTGTTTCTTCATGTTTCAAACTTAAGGGGAAGGGAAAAAAGAGTAGATTTTTAGGCTTGTTTACTCATTCTTTAGTCAAATATTCTCATTTAATCCTCATTTTAATCATGAAACTTAAAGCTAGGGTAGGTAACCCTTCAGGTTTCCCTCTAAAGCCACTCCCCCAACACACATGAACACGCTGTGCCTGAGAGGAGCACAGCACTTTGTTGTAACCGTATCCAACTATACCTAACCTACCTAACCTAACTAGAAAGCAGATAATTAGCTGTCCCTCAGTTCTCATCATTGTTAAAAAGCCACACTGATTACTGAAACTTCTGTTACTGTTCTTAGCCTTTTCTATTTCTGTCTTTCTCTTCTTGCTCTGTTTAGCAGTGTAAACTTTTGCAGGTACAGGTAGAACTGTACATTTTGGCTGTTCTTTCTCTGCCATTCTTGTGCGACTAGCTCAGTAGCTTTAGCAATATAAGCCTGGCCGGCTTGTGGAAGACTCTACAATTCAATTCAATTCAATTTTATTTGTATAGAGCCAATTCATAACAGAAGTAATCGCAGGACACTTTTCAAATAGAGCAGGTCTAGACCGAACTCCTTATAACATTATTTACAGAGAACTTACAGTTCCCACCATGAGCAAGCACTGGGCGAATTCGAAAACTGCCTTTTAAGAGGAAGAAACCTCAGACAGACCCCAGCTCTAGGTGGGTGGTCGTCTGTGAGACAGAGGTAAAGACAGAAGGACAGAGAAAGAGACAAAGGTGCACAGCAACAACAGTAGCTACTACAGCTAACTACACTAATAGTAGTGACTGATGGTGATGATGATGATGATGATGAACATGAAGAAGATGATGACGATGACGACAACAGCCACAACGATGGGGTACGATGGACAATAATAATAGTAATAATAAGAATAATAAGATAATAATAATAACAATTAAAGCTGCAAGCAGCATTGGGCGGGACCTCGCACTCCATGCAACTCGGGGCGTGCTGAGGGTGCGTCACGTGCCGTCGTAACACGTGCGGACCACGACATGAAAATCTAATGTAAATCAGCTCAAAATCGCCACGCAGCGCTTACTTCCTGTTGCCAGTAGGTGGAGCTATCACTATGTCTGAATATTGTCGAGTAGACGTATTCAGGGTGGGACTCTTATCAAACGTGAAGTTTCGTTGAGATCAGATAATGTACACTGAAGTTGTGAGGATGTGTTCAGGCTAGGAGTGTTACAGAATATGTGAAGACATGAATGACATTGTACATGGCATGCCGTTTGACGGAATGTCGTAAATAGCACAACTTTTAATCATGAATGTCTTTAGATTGCACTGATTGAATTTGAAGTTGATCCGATAAATTCCCTAGGAGGAGTTCGTTCAAATACAAGGCGAAAAATCACAGAAAATGAGCACGGAATTCAAAAAGTGAAGCGTGGCACTGGGGCTGCTTTTTTCTTATCCTGTAGGGGGCGCTACAAACACAACAAACACAATTTTTGGTATGTCAGCTTCAGGCACCAGTCTACACGTGCCCTGTGAATTTCATACTCGTAACTAATACGGTCTCCGCACAGTGTTTTACCATGCCACCAGAGCTCCACCTAGTGGCGGATTGTTGACACATTTTTTAGCGAGCCTCAGGGAGTCATGGGCAAGCATCGTACCAACTTTCATTTTAATCACACGTGCCACTGCAGAGATATAAACTTCTTCATTTTAAAAAGCGCCACCTAGTGGTGATGGCCTAAAACTGTGCAAGATGCCTAAGGAAGACATGGGGAACTATCGACCCAAGCTTGGTGTCAATCAGACATACTAATGTGGAGAAATGGTCCACTTCCTTTTTTCACGAAAAATCTACAGGAAGTGCTAATTTTATAACGTGCTTATTTTTGTGAAATATCAAAATTCTTTGAATTAGTTTTTTATTAGGACTGCTATTATGCTACGTGAATTTTTTTGTGCGAATCGGACAAAGCGCATGGTTGAAACACGGAAAAGTAGTTTCTGGACATTTCGCGCTCTAGCGGAGAAAAATTATAGCGGAAGTGGGCGTGACCTATATGGGGAGATTCAGCTCTATTCACCGAACGCGTGGATATTAGGTTTTTGAATTTGCGACAAACTATGCAGAAGTTATTAGCCTAAACGCCTTTTTTATGATAGTAGTGCCACCTAGTGGCCAACCCGAAAGCGACAAATTGAATATCCCCATTTTCACCAGACCTGACAACTTTGCCAAATAAAATTGAGTTTTCGTATATGTTCAGGCAAAAATGCAGTCAAAGGGGGCTAAAAATAATAATAATAGGTAAGAAGAAGAAACATAGCAAATACAATAGGGACCTCCAGCGGTCGCTGGCTCGGTCCCTAATAATATCAGTGATATTAGCAATGGCAGTCAAGCAGGACCATGGCAGGAGGCTCCACCAGGATCCATGAGAACCTGCGAGACGAGAAAGCACAAGAACTCCGGGGAAGAAGTGAAGTTAGTAACATGCATTAATGGGACATGAATGAGTGCAGAAAGAGAGAGGAAGAGAGGAGCTCAGTGCACCATGTGAAATCCCCTGATAGTCTAGGCCTATAGCAGCATAACTAAGGGATGGTTCAGGACTCACCTGATCCAGCCCTAACTATAAGCTTTATCAAAGAGGAACGTCTTAAACCTACTCTTAAATGAATGCGAGATTAGTTCAGGACTGAGTGCACAGAGATAGGCAGGCTGGTTGAATCAAATGATAACGGCCTTATTACAGGCCTGTGGCTACTACAGATACCGGATCTTTTTTCTGAGCATTTGATTTATTGATTGCTGTTGGGATGTGAAGACAAATATAACACAATAATGCTTCTAAAATATATTTTTTTCTACCCCAGCTTTAAAGCAAAATACAAAAAGAAATATAGGCATTTTTTTTATTTAACACTGATGCATCAAGCCTTTTGTCCACTGATCGGAACATTGTTGGTGCGATCCCCGGCTCCTCCCGCCACATGTCAAAGTATCCTTGAGCAACATACTGAACCCCAAATTGCTCCCGATGCTGTGCATTGGTGTGTGAATGAGTATGAATGTGTTAGTTTCTGTTCGATGGACTTTGTGTGAATGTGTGTGAAAGGGTGAATGTGGCACGTAGTGTAAAAGTGCTTTGAGTTGTCGGAAGACTAGAAAGGGGCTATACAAGTACAGGTCCATTTAACTTGTTGTTGGAAAAAATGGCTTAAACATGGAAACATGTTTATATTTCCCAAACTATCTTGTACAGTATGCAACTTTTTGAATAATGAATGAAGCCTGAAAAATGACTTCAATCGTTTCAGCCAGTGCAGATTAATTACTTCATGGATTACATTCGTCTTTGAAGCTTTGCATTTTTAGAAAGATTAACTCTTTGAATTTCAGTGGAATACCCTTTAATAAGACACATTTAGTGATCTGACAGGACCTCTGCATAGATGAGATTGTGTCTGTCCTGAAGGAATCTGAGGAACAGTCCATCAGTCCTTTCGTCTTGATCCTCCTCTCTCAATTCTCTCCAGCCGATGCTTATCTTGCCAATTACCCTTTCTCCTACCCTTTACTGCACAATGTAGTGAGTAATGGACTGAGCAGGGGCATTCATAAATGCCAGGTGGCTCAGTCACTCTGACACTGAGACTCTGGGGATTAATCTAAGATCCAAACCTCCTGTGCGGGTGGGACACCTACCCTGTAATTTAAGAATTAAAGATGTTACTCCAGCATGTCTCACCTCATGTGAACATCGGAAAATGAATCTCAATACTAATGTTTGTCTTCATAGTCAGTGCATAATTAATAGCCATCACCCCTTATTTCCAGTCAAATTGTGTCATATGACATGTTGATGTACGAGATAGAGAAGGAAAACACGTATCCTAGAGAGGTGCTACAGTGGCGGACTCAGGCTGTTTGAAGGGCGCCCAGAAAGTTGTGATTCATTGATGGTGAAACCTTCTAGTGGACAAAAACACTGTTAGAAGGGCACCTTAGTTGGCACTTTATCATGTCTTATCTACCATAGGGGCATCCAGGAAGGCATTTTGATCTAAATGGGACCATAATTTACTAAATGAACGTCATGTTGTATGGAAGAAAACTAGAGATTGATATCATAAACTCATTAGGAAACTGTTGGAAAGGCGTGTTGATGTCTGTGTTTGATTGACAGCAGCTGGCTGCCAGAGTGTTGTACTGTAGGGACAAAGTAAGCAATGTGTGTTGTAGTGTACATGTCGTGTGTGGTGGTACTGAAGAATGAGAACTGTGTCTATCTGGACTCCAGTGACATTTGCAGGTACGTTTATATGCTGTTTAATGTGCTGCAGCTGAGCTGCTAATTAGCTATTTTAGCCTGTGAACTGCTTTTAGCGGTGCACTTTTTGAAAAGTGCACCGCTAACGTGCATAACAAGACATTTGTTCATGTTTGTAAGTTGGATAAGGATAAGAAGGCTTTAGGAGAAAAGCTAATGTGGGTTGTTGTCTCGCAGGTTCTTATCGATCCTGGTGGAGCCTCCTGTCATGGTCCTGCTAGATTGCCATTGCCAATACTGTTGTTGCTGTGCATCTGTCTGTCTGTCTCTCTCTCTCTCTCTCTCTCTCTCTCTCTCTCTCTCTCTCTCTCTCTCTCTCACCCCAACTGGTCGAGACAGACGACCACCCACCTAGAGCCGAAGGATCTGTCCTAGGTTTCTGCCTTTTAACAGGCAGTTTTTCCTTGCCCTTGTCGCCAAGGTCTTGCTCATGGTGGTACTGTTGGGTCTCTGTAATTAATGTTATAAAGAGTTCGGTCTAGACCTGCTCTATTTGAAAAGTGTCCTGAGATAACTTCTGTTATGAATTGGCGCTATACAAATAAAATTGAATTGAATTGAATTTAATTGTTTAGAGTCTGTGGCTCTTGTGTTATCTGGTTGTTAGTGAGTGTGGCCATCTTCCTATGATAGAACACTGCAATTACTGCATTATGCAAATGGTTTAAAATAAAGCCATGTGATTGGCTGAACAAAAACATGCAAACTAACTTCAGTTGCAGTATTTAGGATTTTCATCCTGGTTGGTCTGTCTTTAGAAATGTTTTTGATGAACGATTGCTGACAGCAGTAACCGTGGTGAGTTCTGTGACTGCTTCACAATAAAAGCCATCTTGTGTTTCACCAGTTGAATGGTTTTAATGTGAAGCAGCAGAAGGAAGTTTGGGGTTAGCAGTAAGTAATCCAGCTCCAATACAGCTGTCAGAGTGAACAGTGAACATTAATGCTAGTATCAGTGAGACCAAATTACCCTGAATGCTATGTGCTTAATCTGAATCCAGTGCATGAATGTTGTACTCCGCCACCTCTTATAAATACTGCTATATAGAGAGATAATTATAGCATATATTGAAATTAGTTACTGCAAAAAGCTAACTTACCATAAAAGTGTTGAAAAATGGAGTTTGATTTCATGAAAATATTAAGTATTATAACTTGAATGTTAAAATTTTAATTGGGCTCTTGGGAGCATACAGAACTGAGCAGCAGCATGTTCTCAAAGCCAAACAGTTATTGCGATACATCACTACAAGATATCTGATACCTTCAACTTCAGCTGTCAAACATGACAGTTTGTCATAATTATAGCTGGAAAACTACATAGCAGGTTTTGCTGAATATCATGCCACATTTGAATGTAGTTGGGTTATGAGTTATTTTTACATACATGTTGCTTTAAGATTTTAAAGTCAAGTTTCAAGTAAAACAACAATCTTTTTTATTTTTTTTTTCAAAAACACCTTTGGTTATATGTATAATATAAGTTGTCAATTCTCAGTAAATGTACAGCTGTATAGTTTCCACATTCTGTATTGTATTGTCCTTCTTGGATGGCGCAGTGACCCCCTAGAATTGTACGACTGGACATATTTGACCCCCTCCAGACAATCTTGGCTCAAGTAATACAGTGTTTCTAATTCATTTGGGTGAATATCAAAATGAACTCTGTTTCTATGTTCATGATGATTGCTGTGTGAACTGCTTTTTTTAAATGCCTACCATGTTAGTCAGATGATTACTGGCTTTTATCACAAAGTGGGCAAGATGGGCAAAAGCGATGTGTCAACTAACATCTCAGTAATGGTGATTGCAGCCTTTTCCTCCTTCCTGTGACTTCTACTGCGAGATGGAACAGTTAGTAAAGCAATGCTGCTTATATTCTCACAGTTGATTCTGATATTAAGAATAAATGAGAGCACTGATGAAAATATGATTCAAATTTAGATAATGTGATTTTATGAGTTTGTAACCAGTGCCTATCGGGTAGCAGTGAAATCAAATTGTGGATTAAAGTAAAACAAAGAGAGCCTGTTGTGCAGTTTTAGCTTCACATTCCTAACACTTCTGATAAACTAAAAGTATAAAATTAAGTTTTTGATAGATATATCCAGCTTAGTCTTGATATAATACAAAATAAGCTGATATTTCAACACGTTCTCATTCCCAATGCGTCAAAAACTGCGGCTTGGTCAGTGGCGCAAGAAGTGACGCTCTAGGTACCCTTCTAGTGTCGCTTTTTGACGCTCAGGGATGTTTGATTGATATGAGACCGTGGCACTGTCAAGTTAGCAACAACACATTTACCCACGTCCGGGTGGACTGAATTAGGAAAATAAATAAGCAACGTCCGGTTACTCTTTCAAAATAAAGTCAGAAGAGAAACGTTTCATATTTGTGACCTGCTCCATCATTTTGAGTCACTTTGACCCAGAAACACATTTTGAGTTTTCTTCATGGCTGTAAAGAGGAAAGTCTCAGCTTTATGGCGATACCAAAATAATTTTTCTACTCCAAAATTGTATGAGACACGCTCTTCCAAAGGTCGACTGTCACCAAACCTTGTTTTTGAGAAAAGGGGCTCTAAAGATAGCAATCAACATTCCACCATATTCCAAATGAATTGAAAGACATTTATAAACAGTTTATATTCAAATAAGTAAACTTACAATTCAAAGTGCTTTACATAATTATAATCAGAGACATTGTATGCTACCATCGGGTCAGCCATGAGTGGAATATCTTCCTCCTCGCCTCCGTCGCACTCACTTTCTTCGCCATCACAATTGGAGCGAAATCCGAGTCAGACTCGGAGGTCGAGCCGCCGCTGTCAGTCTCACTCTCAGCTGCCGGTGCGGTGAAATAGTCCGTAACAAGGTGGATCCAGTTGTCGTCTGAAGTAGCATGTCTTACAGGAACTGAATTTAAAAGTCGAGCAATGTCGTTGTCGCGAAAATTCATTTTGTCTAGGCTGTCAATCTGTCAATCTGTCTCCATGTCTGTGTCGATCTAAACTGACAGTTGACAGATGACGTAGATGACACAAACACGCTAGCCGGTGTTTTGAAATCTGACACCTGTTTCGTTCTATTTATGCTAGCTATATTTATCCTTTGTATTTTACATTAATTTTGAAATTGTATGAAAGCTGAGTCTTTATTTAATTAGAAACATGTAAAAACTGAAAATAGCCCAAAATTTTATTTTCTTGTAAAAACGTGTTTCTACACAAACGGGCCGCAGCGACTCATTTTGATGGAACGTGTCACATTTTATGAACAATCGTAATACTGCCACTAAAGACACTAGTGGTTTCTTCCTATTTCATAAATACAAATCATGTTGCAACATTATTAGGACAAAAAAGTATAAAGTGAAGTTAGTTATGTTAGCTGCTCAATTAGACATCGGCACTGTCAAATTAGCAACAACACATATAGCTCCTCCAGTGACAGGCATGAGGCAAGAGGTCTTGATTAAAATACAGGGCTTTATTGCTGGTCAACCCATGAGAACTGGGTTAAAGAAAGAAAAATATAAATTAACAAAAATAATGTTGTATGCATGTCATACATCTTGTGTTATAACCAAGCATATATACAGCTGGACACTTTACAGTTTGATTGAATAAACCGAAAATGACACATGTAAACACAATAATCAATTACACCTTCACAGCAGATAAACAGCCAACAAACCTCATTGCTGCTTATCACGAAGAGTACATAAGTTAACTTATGTAATTATGACAATAACAGTGGAAATGGCATTGTCTTTCAAGGGCAAGTTTTCAAAGTTTCACCGAGCGCCTTTTACAGCTAGACAAATAATTAGTTCCATCTAGCTGTTCCGCCCAAGTGTGAAACTTTGAAAACTTGCCCTCAAAGAGAATGCCGTTTCCACTGTTATTGTCATAATTACATAAGTCAAAAAGCGACGCTAGAATGGTACCTAGAGCGTCACTTCTTGAAGTGTAGGGCCACTGACCAAGCTGCAGTTTTTGACGCGTTTGGAATGAGAACGTGTTGGATATTTATGCAACAATATGCTTTCTTAAGAGTATAACATGATAGCGTCTTATTTGCTGCTTCCAGGGAATATAAAATTAACCAAAGACAATAAACAAGTTAAACAAAAGTTTAAACAATACATTTTAAAATATTGTATAAGCCCTACATCTAAGCATGGCATGGCTTTTCACTCATTAATTGAAAGCTGCAGTAGGCCTTTGCAAGAATCCACCATATTCAAAACAAAACCACCAATCAGAGCAGATAAAGATAGAAAGACACTGATATATGCTTCTGCTGTTTATCTTGGCAGGGTACAGAGCCAAAACACAAACCAAATACAGAGTGTGTTCCGTGTGTACTTACAGTTCGTCAGCTCAGTAGTCACAACACATCTTGGTGATTGTTTACACTTCTACTTAGAGCTCTCCCACTTACAGATAATATAGGCCTACTTGTAATCTAACACTAAGTGTATGATATTTTTCTCATATGGTTTTAGCCAGCAGTCTGCATAAAGATGCTATTAAACAGGTCGAGGCTAAACAGCATAGGCTGAATATTCACAACACACCCCCATTAGATAGAAACGATAGAACACACACTGTACAGAGTTACTTATCTGGTTTAAAGCAGAAAGGTCAGGAGCAGAGGTCATCTCCATTCTGTCTGTTGTTGAGAGTGGATAAAAAAAGTTCAGCTCTCTGGGGAATTAAGCAGAGAGAAGAGATTTTATTTTTATTTTTTTGACCTCAGGTACCTCAGGTCTGATCAGAAAAAGCCTCTCTTGCAGTGGCGAGCTGCTCCCCAGACACTCTATAAGCCTTCTCTAATGGGATGAGCTGAGAGGAGCCCAGCAAAGCAAAGCACAGAGGTGGAGTGAGGATTTAGACAAGGAGAGACGACAGTGAGGGAAGAGATGAGAGAGTTAAGGACAGGGTAGGGTATAAAAGAAGATGTCAGCTTTGCAGGTTGGGCTTCAAAGTTTACTATCCAAGAACTGCAAATTTAACTCTCCTGTTTTCTAAAGGTTAAAAGGTGGCCCCATGAGTATAACAGCAGTTATACCACAAAATAGCATTTTGAGCATTTTAATAACTATAGGTAAAATATATGGTTCTAAAACACTGCAGTCATGGCTCCAAACAATTCAATTCAATTCAATACAATTTTATTTGTATAGCACCAATTCATAACAGAAGTTATCTCAGGACACTTTTCAAATAGAGCAGGTCTAGACCGAACTCTTTATAACATTATTTACAGAAACCCAACAGTACCACCATGAGCAAGACCTTGGCGACAAGGGCAAGGAAAAACTGCCTGTTAAAAGGCAGAAACCTA